TTCAACCTACCACCTCCCCTCTCCCAGTCTGCCTTTTCTTGTCTCAGTTCCCCACCCTCTTCCCTTTACTTAATTTCCTCCCCATCTACTTTTCTGTTGGGTAAGACAAATGTCTATATTCAACTGATTATATATATTATTCCCTCTTTCAGCCCATACCGATAAGAGTAAGGTTCAAGCGATGCCCATCGCTTACCCTCCCATCTTTCCCTCCACTGTAATAGGTTTTTCATGCTTCTTCATGTGAGATAATTTATCCCATTTTACCTCTCCCTTCCTTCTGCACCCAGCATACTCCTCTTTCTCACTCCTTTTCTTGGGTCTTGATATTGGAAATAAACCTTTTTGTTCAATTCTGGTCTTCTCTTTATGAAAGCTTGAAATCCTTCTATTTCATTGAATAGCTATTTTTCCCCTTGAAGTATTATATTTAATTTCACTGGGTAGGTGATTGTTGGTTGTAGTCCTAGCTCCTTTGCTTTCCAGAACATCATGTTCTGTGATCTCTAGTCATTTAATGTTGCAGCTGCTAAGTCCTGTGTAATCTTGATTGTGGCTTCCTGATATTTGAATTGTTTCTTTCTGGTCACTTGCAGTACTTTTTCCTTGACATGATAGTTCTGTAGTTTGGCTATAATGTTCCTTGGAGTTTTTGTTTTGGGATCTCTTTCCTGAAGTGATCAGTGGAGTCTTTCAAATCCTATTTTGCCCTTTGGTTCCAGAATATCAGGACAGTTTTCCTTGACAATTTCTTGAAAGATGCTGTCCACGTCCTACTTTCGTTTATGGCTTTCAAGTAGTCTAGTGACTCTGACATTGCCTCTCCTGGATGTATTTTCCAGGTCAGTTGTTTTTCCAATGAGGTATTTTACATTTTCTTTTATTTTTTTCATTATTTTGAATTTGTTTGCTTGATTCTTGTTGTCTCATAGAGTCATTAGCTTTCACTGGCCCAGTTCTAACTTTTAAGGAGTTGTTTTCCTCAGTTAGCTTTTGTACTTCCTTTTCCACTTGGCCAATTCTACTTTTTAAGCAGTTGTTTTCTTTTTCTAAGCTATTGACTTTTTTCATAATTCTCTTGCATCACTCATTTCTTTTCCCAGTTTTTCTTCTACCTGTCTTATATGATTTTTAAGCTCCTTTTTGAGATCTTCTATGAGTTCTTTCTGGGCCTGAGATCACTTCCCAATTTTTCGTTTGGAGTTTCGCCCATAGGTGTTTTGATATTGTTGTCCTCTTCTGAGTTTGTGTCTTGATCTTCCATGCTATCATAATAACTTTCTATGGTCAGATTCTTTTTTTTGTTTTTGTTTTTGTTTTTGCTCCTGTTTTTTTGGCCTTTTTCCTTTCTTTTTTGAGCACTGCTGCTGTGGAAGGGGCACTGTCTCAAGCTTCTCCTGCCTTGGGCTGCAGGCCTTGCCTGTTTACCTGGTGCTGCACTGATGTTGCCCTGAGGCCCATGGGAGACCCTCATGTCTGATACTGTGCAGAGGGAGTGGGATGGGGGGGATAGCTGGCACTGCTGGAGACCATAGGGGTCTGGCAGTTTACTTGGTGCTGAGCCAGGGTCCTAGTTGTGATGTCTGGTTTGTGCTGAGGCTGGTGAGGTGTTTCTGTGTTTCCATGGGCTATACTGAAGCAAATGGAAGGGGGCCCCAGCATTGTTGTCTGTTGCTTAGGCACCCAGTAGGGTTTGTGTCTACCTGTTTGCCTGGAGCTATGCTGAAGAACATGGAGGTCTGGATGCTCAATAGTAAGCTCTTTGAGAATGGGAACTTTGTCTTATTTAGCTTTGTCTCTGTGGCTGTGCCAGTCATTATCTATTACACATAGCAGGGGCTTAACAAATGAATTACTAACTAGGACTGGCTTCCCCAGGCAAATGTATAAGGGAGCAGACAGTATGCTTCCAGTAGATGCCACTCTAGAACTGTGAAATAAATGAAGTTTGGCTTTCCTCCTCCCCTTTCTCTGTCCCCTAGGCAGACCAGATGCATGGAAATCAAGGGGGAGGTTTGCCATTTTCCATTGCCTTATAGTCAATTCCTCTCTCTCCAACTCCTTCCCTCAGGGTGATTAGGGGCAGTGGGGCTTAGGATCATAGCACTATAAAGGACCTTAAAGATCCACCCCCCCTTTTTTTTTTAAGAATTGGAGAAACTTAGGCCCAGAGTGGTAATAAGATCATATATTTAAAATTAGAAGAGTCTTAGAGGTCATTGAATGTGACCCTCTCACTTTATAGAAAAAGAAACAGGGGACCCAGTGAGGTTAGGTGACTTGCCCAGAGTCATGCACCTAGTAAGGAGTCTGAAGAGTGATTTGAATCCAGCTCTCCCTGACTCCACATGGAATTAGTGACAGAGCTGCTATGAGAACCCAAGCCTCCTAAGCCCCACTCTAATACATTTTGTTTTATATCACACTGCTGCTTTCATAACCAAGAACTCCTCTGGGGAAAACTCCTGGTTGCCCCAGGAGTAAATACTAGGCCACATGAGAATTGGAGATGAGGGCAAAAGGATTAGCATTGTCCTCTCAGGAAGGGCTGGCCTGCATATAGTTGGATAATTACAACTTTGTGGTAGGATTTTGGGAAGAACCAAAAGCCCCTCTTTTCCCTCTGGCATATCAAACATATCAATCTTTTCCCTGTGGCATATCAAACCTATCAAAACCCTTTGTTTCCCCAGCTTGCTAGAGTGCCAGAGGTCTTCACCATTTATGGTCCCTTTTTTTTTTGTTAGGGGTTTTGTCTCCTGAAGGCTCCTGAAGGCCCCCTTAACTATCTGGGGCTAATTTTGAATTTGTAAAATAGGGTTGGGATGGATGATTCCCTAAGGCTCCTTCTAACTTGGACATTCTATAGTTCTATGATTCTTGGGATCCAGGAGGGTTAGACATTAAGCCACAGTCACCCATTACCACCTCAGTGGGCTTAATTTATTTCCTGGAGGACTAGGACTTGGGACAGGTAAACTTTAATAGTAGAGAAGGTCAGGGAGCAATTTGCAGGCATTGAGATTCAAATATGATATCCTAGGTAACTTGAGAGCATTAAATACCTGGTAGGAGGGGATCCTGAAAGAGGGATGGAGGTACCCTAAAGACAGCTTCTGTAATGGAAAGTGCACTGACTCTAGGAGTCAGAAGACCTAATCTTCTAGTTCTTGTTCTTCTAGTAAATATCTGTGTGACCTTGGGGAAATCTTTCACCTCTCTGAGCCTTAGCTTCCTTCTCTGTACAATGGTGAAAATAATCTCCTGGATTATTTTCTCAAGGACGTATTAAGAGGACCTAAGGAGAGAATAGAGGCTAAGATCTTGGGAAAGTTCAAAGGGCTATGCAAATATATCAGATTATTGTTATTCTTACTGTCACAGTTAACTAAAACCTTCTTCCAGAACACTGAACCCTGAAGAGGCTATTGAAAAATTATTCCTTCAAACAGCTTCAGGCCTTCAGGATTGATCCTGGTCTTTGGTGCCTCAGGTCTAAAGAGACAAGTTAGGGAGTACCAGATTTTACGGGTTGCTCTGTCTGCAACAGAAGAGCATCCTCATCCCAGGAAGGCTAGCATTGTTCCCCAATGCCTATCTGGGAATAGAAAGTGGAGGAAAGAAGTGAAATCAAGATGCTGTCTTAGCAACCCGGGGATCTTTAGGCTTCCACAGGTAGGCCTAGGCATGTTGCTTAACAAAGGGAGATCTGGGCTCAAAAGAACTCCAAGGCTAGGGAGGATCTATCTGTTCTTTCTAACCGGCTGTTTCTACCCAAGTTCCCCCATAGAAGGTGAATTAATCTGGGGCTGAGGTTTGTTTTTATTTTTTTCTGATTACTATTCTCACACTTTCACCTTTCTAGCAAGTCTAGAGGCTCTACAGAGCATTCCTCTAGAAGACTGGCTTCTAGAGGCCAGATCATGGGAAACTTTCTTACTTTTTTTTTTTTAACATACCTCCCCTGCCACATTCAAGCAGGGCCTAGAACAGCTAAGGAGAGCAGAGGCCTAATGAAATACCTGCCCTAAAGGGTACCAGAAGCTGTGTGTGACTTAATGAGGCTGAGAACCACCAACTAATCCCCTAAGTATTTTGACGTGTAACCTGAGATAATCTTGCTTGCAAACACCTGTTTTCATCCCATTTGTTGATAGATATATTAAAAAGAAATAGCACACTGGTAAATGACCATAGAATCTATAGGAATGGAATAAAAGTAAATGCTCTTTTAACAATTTGGCAGTACCTATTGGTGTTCAGCCAATCATACAACATTAGAAAGACTTAATTTGCCATAGGTATATTCCCATTTATGTACACAGTCACAGGGATCCCGTGGAAAGTACCCTGGGCTAGGGGCTGACCTCTAAGCTAGAGAGCTACGTTTTAGTCCCACTTCTGCCACACAATTCAGTCCAACAACGTTCATTAAGTACCAATTAGGTGCAAGGCATCTGGTAATATAGGACAAAAAATTGAAAAAAATTGTACTTGTCCTCAACGAACTTACATTCTGTGAGGACTTGGGCAATTCGTTTAACCTCTTTTTGCATCAGTTTTGACCTCTCTAAAGTGGGACTGATAACATCTTTCCTGTCTACTTCAAAGGTTGTTATGAGCATAAAATGAGCTAGCAGGGGTAAGACCCTAGGGTATTATGCATACCAACTAGCTTCTCATACCTTGAAGGTGAAAGTTAGATATAATTAGGCTTTTTTGAGGAGCGGACCAAGTGCCAACCCTGTGAAACTGACTGATCATGTTCTAATCATTTAGAACTGCAAGTCTCTGCCTCGGGTGGCACAGAAGATGTTGCCAATTTGTTGGAGAATCAATTCTCAGCTGGAGACCCAAGTCTAGAGGAGGAGAGGGCACTTTATGCAGAACCAGTCCCTCCAGAGAAGAACCTGCAGCTCCATTACACAGATGGCAGTGAGGCTGAGAACTGGGAGAGGAGAGAGGCTGGGGGGGAGCCCGGGCCACCTGTTGATGCTGATGGCCACCACAGCCCTTCTTCTGACCCTGAAGCCAATACCTCTGCCTTAGAGTCGGCTCTGTCCTGGGAAGCTGGAAGGGAAGAGGAAGCCCATGAAGAAGCAGGAGCTCTCCCTGAAGAAGGAAAAGGCCTCTCTGGAGGAAAAGCAGCAGGAACTCAAGGAGGGAGATGGTGCAGGAGGTCAAGAGGCAGAGGCTAGCTCTGAAGAAGGACAAGGAGGACCCCTGGAGGAAAAGCAGCAGGAGCTTATTGAGGGAGATAGTTCAGAAAGGGAAGGGGTTGGAGCTAGCCCCTTGAGTGAGGAGGTCGTGACTGAGGGAAGCCCAGATTTTTCTAGTGCAGGAGAGACTGGAGGCCCAGCTGAAGCGGGAGGGGAGGCCACTGAAGAGATAGCAGAGGTCCTAGAAGATGCCCCAGGAGAAGAGGAAATAGCAGCAGCAGAACCTGAGTCCTCTCCCAGCTCAGAGCATGATGGTGGCCAGGTTCCTCTGAGAGAAAATGGAGACCAAGAGTCTAGAGCGGCCCCAGGAAACAAGGAGACAGAAGTGCCACAGGAAAATGAGTTACCCAAGGCTGATGCTGATGCAGAAGGACCTAAGGAAAGAGAACAAGAGCTGGAGGCTGGGACAGGAGAAGTGACTGAGGCCCAGGGAGAGCCCCAGGGAGCCTTGGAGGAAGATAAGAACATAGAGAGCTCAGCTGCAGCCAGGGGCAAGGCAGAAGATACTGACAGCTCTGGGGTGGGGCAGGAGGCTGAAGGTCAGACTTCACTAGTAACCAGCCAGGAGCTGGAGGAGTCATCCTCTGAAGAACAAGGAGATGAGGAAGGGCAACAGTCTGAGGAGGAGTCTGAAGAAGATGCTGGGGAAGTCAGCTCAGAAGAAGAAGAAGAAGGGGAGGATTCTGGGGAGGCTGCGGCTGCCCAGGAAGAGCCAGGAGCCATAAGCCATGAGGATGAGGAAGCCAAATTGAGTCCTGAGGAGGCAGCCTCAGCTTCTGAAGACTCAGAAGTTCCAGGTTTCCCAGGCAGGTGGCAGGGTGAGGGGATTCCGACAGTTATCCCCTAAGGGGAGGAAGCCTAGTATCCCTAGGTGGGAATAGGGCTCCAGTCCTCCCAAGTGTGTGGCATTTGCCATTGGCCCTGTATGTAGGAAGGAGTGGAGGGAGTGAGGATGGGGAGTGAGGTCTCCTGAGCTGGGACTCTGCACTGGTGCATGACTCTGGAGGCTAACATGAGGCTCCCCATAGTTTCAACTAGGAATTTTTGCAGCTGGGGCTTCAAGCATTACATATTGCTCCTAAAGCAAGAGGAAAGAAGAGTACACTCAGTTTTGGTGGGGAGCAAGGGAGTTTGAACAGTATGCTTTGCGGTGAGGCAGAGTTCCTGGTAAAACTCAAGGCCAGTGCTGAGCTAGCTGACACATGCCTTCCCCTAGGACACAGACCACCCATTAGTTCCAGAGAGGCAAACTGCCATGGCGGATAGAGAAGTGGCCTAGGAGTTAGGAAGATATGAGTTCAAGTATCACCTCTGACGTTGTCAGGTTAGATGACCTTGGGCAAGTTACCTAACCTCTTAGTGCCCTAGGCAACTCACCGGATTATAAATTACAGAGAAGGTGCCTACCTGTCTTGGTAGAGGGAATTTCCTGTATCAATGAAATCATATTTCAGGCCTTATTCTGTTTCTCTACTATATTCTTGATAACTAGGTTCTGAGGTCAGGTTTTTTTTTTTTAAACTTTGCATCAGAAGACCCACTGTATTACTGGGGGTGGGGTAGGGGGGTGGAGTTGCAATCCTTACAGCCAATAGAGAATCTTTTTTTTGATGAAAGGATTAGAAGAGAGCTTGAAGGCACTAATACCCCTGCCACCCCTACCCCAAATAAAAAACAAACCAATTCCTAGCTCCCAAAGTATTATGTTAGGTCTCGAGAGCTTAGTTATCATTTATTCCAAATCCTTTATTTTAGAGGGCAGAAAACTGAGGTCTTCAATAAGGGAAGTAACGTATCCAATGTTACAGAGTAAGGAAGGCTCTGAAATTGAGGGTGACCTGAGGTCAAATCATGGCACTCAAATCTCTTAAGATTCATAGTATTAGAGTTGGAAGGGTCTTGAGAAGCCACCTTATCCAATCCCCCTCATTTTACAGAGGAAAAAGCAGAAGCCTAATCTGTATCAAAGCAGGAGTCCTGACTCCTAGTTCTGTGTTCGTTCAGCTAGGTTATTAAGGTTTGGCTTCCCTAAGAAGAATGGGTGAACCAGCTCATTTGGAGCAGAGGACCCTGGTTTTATTACTTAGGATGAGAAGCTGAAAAGGGGGGAGCCCATGGTCCTTCTGGGTATATTCTGCCCCTGATTTTACCAAACTGGTAGGCTCTCATAGGAAGGAAAATTGGAGGAGTCTGACTGGGGTGTGTGGAAAGGGCACAAATCTTAGAGGGAAGGAAAAGGTTTCTGGGATTGAGAGGGCAGCTGCATCCACAAGGAGGCACAGCCCCCCAGCTAAGGCTGAGGTATGTATCCCTCTCCTGCCTTGACTTGCTTACAGCTCCTTTTGCCAGGAAAGTTTGAAAAGCCTGGGAGGGCAAAACTTTGAGGGGGAAACAAGGGTCCCTGGGATAGGGGAGGCAAAGGTATGTTCAGGGAAGGAATGACCTACCAGCAGGCACTGAGATGCTCTCTCCCCTTCCTTCCCTTCCTCAGCAGAAGGTACTAAAGAACAGCTCCTTAGGAACTTCCCTGTCTGGGCTGACCACTAATGGTTTCCATGCTACCCCTCTGCCTGTGAGACAGTTCTGTTCCTCTTAGTACTGAGAAGATTGGTTCACTGAGTCAGGACTAGGTCTCTCTCCTCATCCCTTGGCCCATGGGAGCTTAGACCTCTCCCCTCTTTCAAAGGCTCCTCTTTTGCAGGCATTTTTTTGTTGTCTGCTCTTCCCTGTTGCTTCTCTGAACTTCCTTGGCCTTCTTCCTAGGGGAGAACAACTGGTTTAAATTTCCTGCCCTGAGGCAAAGAGTTTTAAGGAAAGAAAATGGATCCAGATAGAAAAATGCATTCCTTGCAGGAATAGAGATTGCTTGGCTTGGAAAAGAGAAGGGTGGAGGCAAGCTGGGAACTGGGAGAGGGAGTGGGCAGTTAATAACAGTAAAAAATGTATATGGAGGAATGTGGTATATAGATGATGATCAGCAGCTGTTCTCTAATTTTACTGAGGACAGAGAAAAGTAAGCAGGTTTTAATTTGTACTTTAATAGATTTAGGATAAACTTTAGGTAGGTGTGGCAAACTGTGACGCCTCCTTTTCCGGAGGACAGCCAGCTGTGCAGTTTTGCCCTGAAGTGGGACAATGGACTAGACAACTACACAGCTCTGCTTCTGAGGTATTTTCCTGACCAGTAAATCACAGAGGTCTTGGTTCCTCTGATTCCCAGGCAGACTGAAGTTAGCTAGAGCAAGTGACTGAGATGACGTAGACCTCAATTCCCAGACCCTCACTCGGAAGTTATCAGATCATAGATTTAGAGCTACAAGAGGCCTTGGAGGCCACCTGTCCAACTCTTCATTTTACAGGTTAAGGAAATTAAGGCTCACTAAGCTAAAAAGTGTCAGAGTCAAGTTTGAACCCAGGGCTTCCTGAGTCAAGATTCTATCTACTACACCATGCTGCATCTCAAGTGATATACTTTCCAGCAGAACTATAACCAGGAATGTGTGGGATGACCAGACCTTTCTCCCAGGGGAGATGAGGATAGCCCTTTAAGTTCTTCAGTAGCATAAAAACAACTGAGTTTAATACCTCCTTAGGAAAAATGATTAATTTTCTTCCTCCTGGCTAAGCTAGTTCCTCCATGGCCTGGCACCTGTCTGCTCCTGGCCCAGTCCTCCTCATCCCTGGAGGCCTCCTAAACATCAGCCTCAGGGTGTAGCATTGTCTCTGCAATCTCCCACCCCCCCCCCCCCCCCCCCCCCCCCCCCCCCCCCCCCCCCCCCCCCCCCCCCCCCGCTTCTGCAATTGAATGCAAGCAGCTTTTCATGTGACTTGCCTCAGGCACATCTTGTCCTAGTCATCAACCTTGCTAGTTGTGATTCTGCTCTCTGGGATGGCCCTCTTGGCTGGTGTGGTCTCAGGGGCTACTTAATATAGGATCTAGGTAGACCTGAAGCAGCTTTGTACATTTGCCATGGAAAATGGTGTGAGACAGTCACCTGGCTCCCTTAATCAGGGGCCTGGAGTGGCAGACCACAGACCAGCCTGATTTCTTCTCTCTCTTTCCACCTCTGTTCTAAAGTACACACGTAGTCAATCTGCTGCATTGGGGATGGGGCACTTAAATAAGCCAATCATCCCTAAGGACTCTTTGTCTGGGCACAAGATTTCAAAGTGGAGAAAGGAGTAAATGAGAAAAGTTCCTTTACCTTAACTTCCCCAAAGTCCCATTCCCTTCCCAGTCCCCTGCTTCCCTGAGGGTGAATGCACAGATCTCCTTTTAGTTGCCTTAGTTGTTCTGGGCTCCATTCTAGGGAACTGCTTTCTGATTTTCAAGCCTGCAACTACCTGTTCTTATAAACCCATCCTTGATGGTGTGTTGATGGGTATTCATAGATGGATAGATAGGAAGGGGGTAGAATAATCCTCATTCCTAATCACACAGTTGCATTTTAACCTGGACCATCTGAATAAAATGCCTGATCATATGAGTGATTTTAATGATGGCCATTGGATGACATCACAGGAAAGTAAAAAAGAGATATTTTAGGCAGAAGGGCATTAAGTGCCATACCGCAGAAGCAGAGGCATAGGACCGGGCCACTAACCAAGATGTTCTGGACTCAGCTCTAACTAGCTTGCTAGCCATTGTTAAAATTTCAGTGTAGGTATAGACACCTTAGAAATTGGCAATCCCTACAAATGGGGGCTTGATTTTTTGTTTTGTTTGTTGTCTATACTCAAGAAAGTGTTAATAATACAAATTAAAGGTGTGTGTTTACATTTTTTCTCCCTCTTCTCCATCCCAGCCCTGTTGTTAAACATTTACTAGTACATGCCTTATTGCTCTATAAACATTGTTTGAGCTCAGCAGGAGGAAAGTAGAAGGCTCATGGAATAAAGTCATCACCAGATTGGAGGCCTGATGACTGTATGCTGATAATAATAATAACTGTTATTTGTGTAGCTCTTTAAGGTTTGCAAAGTGTTTTACATCCCCTATCTCATTTAAGCCTCACCACACCCCAGACCTGTAGGCTTCCTTTTTATCCAGTGTGCTCACATCATAGTATCAAACATAGATTTAGAACTAGAGGAACCTCAGAGGCTATTTTCTAAACTCCTTATTTTATGAATGAGGAAACTGAGGCTCAGAGGGTTTAAATGTCTCGCCCATGGTCACACAGCTAGTAAGATAAGATGTGTCAGTTTCATTTTGTCTGCTGTCTTTTTTCATTAGTACCCTTTGCTTACTCTGCACATTCTGCCTACTGTGCTTAGCTGTACATAAACATGTTGTATGCACATGGTGGCCATGGATAGAGTGATGGACTGGAGTAAGGAAGGCCTGACTTCTAATTGAGACTCAGATGTGTAACCAACTGTACAAACCTAGGCAAATCACTTAACCTCCTTATCTATAAAATGGGGGTAATAATAGCATCTATCTCCCAGGGTTGTTGTGAGGATAAAATGAAATAATATTTGCAAACCTTAAAGTATTATATAAATACCAGCTATTGTTGTTATTATTATTATTATTACTGGTAGTGGTGGTAGTAGCAGCAGCAGCAGTAGTAGTAGTAGTAGTAGTAGTAATACCTGCTATGCTTAGTGTCTGGCTCCCTCTGCTTACTCTACACAGCTATATTAGTTCTTCTCTGCCCATAGTATCCAGCCAACCTCACAGAGCTGTTCTGAGTACAGCATTCTATAAATCTTACAGTGGCTTATAAATATAAGGTATTATTGTTATTTATTTCTCCTATGTGCATCTAGCTGTTTTGGTTCCCTCACTGCCTACTATGCTTGGCTAGATTTATTCTTCTGTGCAAGGTTTAATTGATTTCCTAATAACCTGCTGTGCCTGGTTGGGATATGGCCCTTGTTTCTTTTTAGGTTTGCTATGTTTCACCTGCCCTCTCTAACCAGGGAGGGAGGGAGTGGGGGTGCTATTGTGGCACTAAAGGTGTGACAACTGTAGGTTAAATATTGGATTCCTCTGTACTCTTCAGCCTTAATCCCATTCTTACCTTTACTAACCCAGTCACAAAGTCCACAGGTCAAATTCTCTCAACCCAAACATAATTGAGGTGTTGTAGAGGGAATTCCTGCTTCAGGTAAGGCTCATAGATGACCCTTTGGTGATTTCAATACTAGGATTTTAGAGTGAGACTCATAGAATAGAGATCTGGTGAGTTCCTAGAGTGCCATCAACTCAGTGCTCAGTGATGTAGAGAATACAAAAGAAGTATGAGACAGGACAAATGCTCAGGAGTAAAGGGTCAAAGTCACAGCCATAGGCTGTATGTGCCTGAAACACTCCCTGGTATAATCTGAACCAGATTAAAATGTAATTATAACATAGGTGTTAATTTATGATTTTCTAAGTCAATATGGAGCTTGTAGAGATCCATTTCTATTTGTATTTGAGTTTGACACTGATGCCCTGTAGGATCTTTAAGTGTAGTTTAAGGTGTCATATTTATGTGGGGAATAGTGAGTCCCTGAGATCAGCCCAGACAAAGGTGTGGGGAGTTGATGGTCATCTCTGTCGAGCCTACAATGCTGACTGCTATCAGAATGTTGAGAATGAAGGGGCCAAAGATTGCCAGAGAGAGGAGCTGAGGCTATAAAAGGAAGAAGAGAGTGGGGGAGAAGCTCCCAGAATCTTGGGTCTAGTTCCGAGGGGAGGACTGGTCTCATGCCTGAGATACTAATGCCCTGCTATGCCTTTCTTCCCAGAAGAGGCAGAGGATGTAAGTGAAGCACCTATAAGGGACCGTTCTCATATAGAGGAAACCCTGATGCTGAAGGAGGACAAGCCATCTGATGACTTTTCAGGTAAGGAGGGTAAGGTTAGGATGAGCTTCAAGGAAAGGAAAGAGTGCCCAATAATGACCACTGAGAAGTACATGTTTCAAGATGTGGTCTGGGGCCATGTCTGTACATTTTGAGGGAATTCACAATAAATAGAAAGATAAATTGGGATTGTGGAGCCAGGTTATCTTCATTAATCTGGAGCCTGAAGGGCACACTTTAGATAGGCAGGTAAGAGAAGGGAGGTGTTTCAAGCAGGGGGAACAGTATAAGCAAAGGTGTAGTTGGGAATGCACATAATACATTTTGGGGGAGACTTGTAACAATCTCTATGGTGGCATTGGAATCACCCTCATGCAGGTGACCTCAGTGATTTGTCCTGACAATTGTTATTCAATCAATCAATTAAGAACTAGGCTTGGAATGTCCCATGACTTAGCTCTAGAGTCCTTTTGATCTCCAACAAGATGTCAGAACCAGAAACACTGTTGGCCTCATGAGAACAGTAGGGAGAGAATGCCTACTAGGTATAGGATATGCCCTCATGAGCCTTGCAGTCCAGTAAAGGGATAAGATCCAAATACAAATAATCATAATATATACTATTGCATGGTGAGTTCATTAGAAAAGTGCCATGTGATGTCAGAGGGAGAAACTCTTTACTGACCAGGAAGCTAGGTGGCCTATTCTAGTGATTTAAATGCAGCTGAGTTTAATTTGGTCTGCTAAAAAGACAGGAAAAATCTCACAAAGAAAGGATTTCAGCAATGTTCTCTAGGAGCTGATTTCTTAAATTTTTTATTATGTTAAATAATTCCTCTACTGAAATCTGTCTTTGAAATCTCATTGTGGTGTAAGAGATGGAAAAGAGTAATTTGGGATTCCCATTTATTATGGGAGTTTCTTTGGGGGGCAGAAGCCCTTAAATTAAACTGCCCCATTCCTCAGAAGGCCTGGGCTGAAGGGTGCCCATCCCACAAAAGGGTGCCAGGTAGGCAGGAACTTCAGTCAGGCTGGGCCTTTCCAATGGAGCCTTTAATCCAGAAGTCAGGGATTGGAACACATTGCAGAGAGGATCTTTAAAAACAGATCTGGGAGGCTTGAGAAGGTTTGGCCTAGAGGCAGAGGGATGGAGTAAATGACTTTCTAGCTTGCAATATTATATGCTTCTTTGTGTGGAAGTGTAGTTGCTAGATGGGAATTTACATCAGTGGGATGAGGAATATGGTTGTAATAACAAAAGAGCTCCCCCTGCCCTCCATCTGTGCAAACAATGCAGCATAAATAGGTATAGGAGGGGCTGTCTGGAAAACCGTGGCTGTTCACAAGGTAGTAATGATGTGGTCACCCAGAGGATTGGTGTGTCGACTCTATGTTGGTATATTAAAGCAGGTTGGAGCCTGTCTGATTTGATCCTTTTCCTTTCTCTTCCTTGGCCCCTAGGGGTGATGCAGCGGTTGAGAAAGATCTACCACTCTTCCATCAAACCTCTAGAGCAATCCTACAAATACAATGAACTGAGGCAGCATGAGATTACAGGTAAGCCTGATCACATGAAAGGTCCTGGGGCAAGGGCCCTAGAAGACCTAGGGCTCATGGGGTAATCAGGAAGCCTTAGCCTGATCTCCTAACCTTCCTTTGGCATCAGACACAAGCAGCAGAATTCTGCTTAGAGAGCCGGGCCCAGGGAAGCTCCTTAGTGAGTCCACCCAGAAATGAAGACCTAGAGATATAAGGTCAGAAGTTTTACTTCATTAATCACCCAGGTTGTCAACCCCTAAACTAAAGGCCGCTTTCCTTCTCACTCTATATAACATGGGCCCAATTTCATGAGCTGGCTATAGGTGCAGAAATTCACCTTTTACCTTCTCTTTTTTCTACACTCCTTAATTTCCTCACCTCAGTTCATCCTTCCTTGGGGCAGGTTGATCTGCTTCCACTGAGGCTAAATCCTGATTGGGTTCTGATTCTAAGTGCCTGTATTAATAGCAACATTGTCCAGAGGCTAGGGAAGTAGAGACTAGGGACTCCTTGACTGGGTGAGGATTCACTTTTTGGACTTTACTTTCCTCTTTCTGGTCCCCAGCATTCCTCTGGCATGCTTCCACTGCCAACAACATACTCTCGTCCAGGCTTTACTCCAACTCTCTAGTGTCTCCTACTTTGATGTTGCTATGGCTCTCATGCCCTCTGGCGTAAAAAAGCTGAAACAACATCTTCTCAAATCTTCAAATCTTGGGACCAGATCTTATCAGTCCAGTGTTGTTTCTATCGCACCATGTTATCTCACTAGAATTCCTTAATAAAGGGCTGTGGACTTACTACAATGCATCTGTGATCTTACCAACATGGGCACTTTTTTTCCAAGGGTACCATTTGTAACACATTCATGACTTCTCATTTTGTGTGATTCTTTTCCATGTTTTCTTATAGGGGATCTAACCAATGTGTTGGAGGTCTTCTTCTTCTCCTTCTTCTTCTCCTTCTCCTTCTTCTCCTTCTTCTCCTCCTTCTCCTTCTCCTTCTTCTCCTCCTTCTCCTTCTTCTCCTCCTTCTCCTTCTTCTCCTCCTTCTCTCCTTCTCCTTCTCCTCTCCCTCATTTTGTGGGTACCATTGCAGCACTCAGGCTGTCTGCTATCCCTCATTCTTGCTACATAACTGATTCATCTCCTTTTCCAATGATAACTTTCCTGAATAACACCTCTAGGTTATCATTGGAAATCTGCTGCAACCTATTTACATATATCATCCATCTTTCCATTACTTTTTGGGTTTATAGTTTTTATTCTTTGGAGACTGTGATCTTCCAAGATTTCTTAGGAGCACACAAGTGTTAAACAGCATACCCATCTTAGGGTTTTGGGTGTTTTTGTTAAAGAGGAGCTTGAGATCATTGAAAGCATTATGCAATTTCTCAATTCATTCATCTGCTCTTTTCCTCCTTTCCAGTTCTGGACTTAGGTTCATTTACAACATACATTCTAGGTATATGCATAGTGCAGGTTGTAGACATGCTCTCCTTCCTTTTGTATCTCCTTAACAAGGTGTGAACTCTCTTTGTCTTGGGTCCTGGGTATTCTGGACCAGACCAAGTATACTCAGAGATTATCTATACTGGAGACAACAGATTTTTGAAAACATTGAGAAATTGTTTCTTTAAAAATTTTGCTTTTTTACCTTTATGAATTTGACAAACATTAAAAGCACACATTTTAGGGACAGCTAGATGGCGCAGTGGATAGAGCACTGGTCCTGGAGTCAGGAGGACCTGAGTTCAAATCCTACCTCAGACACATAATATTTACTAGTTGTGTGACTCTGGGCAAGTCACTTAACCCTATTGCCTAGCCCCAACCCCCCCCCCCCAAATACACATTTTCATACACAAGGAAGAACAAAAAGGACAAATTGATAAATCTCATATACAGCTTAGGTTTTTAAAAAGCATGTAGGAAATTTAACACAGTAATTATAACACTGTCCCTTTATGAACTTCCTTCTGCTTTCTTCAGAGTATTTTAAAACATTTCATTGATATTCTTTTCTTCTTTTTCTGGCATCAGTGTCACCATCCATATCAAGTCCTCCCTTATAACAAATAAGCATAATCAAGTAAAGCAAACATTGTCCAAATTTGAAAATGTATGTTTCATTCTGTCCCTCTAGTCAGTTACTGCTCTGCCAAGGGGTGGGAAGCATGATTCATCAATCTTCTGGAGTTGTGTTTGGTCATTGCATTGATCATTGATCTAAAGTCTTTCAAAGTTAATTTTCCTTTACAATATTTTAATTGTACATACTGTTCTAGTTCTGCTCACTTCACTCTGAATCAGTTCATATAACTCTTCCCAGGTGTCTCTGAAACTATCTATTTTATTGTTTCTTACATATCAATAAGATTCCATTATATTCACATATTTCACAATTTATTCAGCCATTTTCCAATTGACAGGCATTGTTTCTGTTTTTGTCCTACAACAAAAAGTGATACTATAAACATTTATACATATGAATCTTCTCACTGAAGAATCGTTTTATAAGCTACATCAAGGAGGTGGAGATACGAAAAGGCTGGGGAAACAATTGCTGGTGAGATTACTACTAAAAAACAAGGTTAAGAAAACGCCAACTGCCAACCCATGAACCTTCTTTCTCATTTCATAAAGCCTTTATGAGATTACTCCATACAAGTATGGAGGGCATACTTGATGAAAATATGAGAAAGGAGCAGTTAATCTTTCACAGATGATTCTACTGTTAACATTTTGCTGTCTGAGAAAAGCCCATTTGTCTTTTTCCTTTTGTAATATGATTCAGCAAACACTAGGGGGAGCTGTGGGTATCAACCAACTTAAACTGTTCCTCTTGGTACGGATTTCAAAGATCTGGTTATTCATTATCCCTTAGCTCTGCTCCTGTATGGGTGGTGCCTTTATTGGCATCTACTGTCCAGTCTAGGAATGGGAATTTGTGGTTCCACCAATCCAGACACTTGGCTGTATTTGCCACCTTTACTTAGCCAGTTCCCATTTATCCCTTCCATTGTATGTGCCTCATTAATTCATCTCTCCTGAAATCCTTAATTAAAAAAATGTTTTATTAATGCCTTTTATTCTTATATGACAGTTGTTTCCAGATGTACTCCAAGTCAACTCCTACACCAAATTGAATCCTTCTTTGCAACAAAGCTAAACAGTTAAACAAAAATAATTGACAATGATCCAACTCAGCATATATAACATCCTGCCCCAGTAATACAAGCCTCTCTGCCAAAGGAGACAGGTCTGTTTTATGATCTGTTCTCTAGGAAGATCATTAATTTATAGGGCATTTAATAGGATTAGATAAAAGGTAATAAAAGTAAAAGCATTACTTGCATATAAGTTAGAATGTACATTCCATTTGGTCGCCTGCCCTCCCAAAGGCAGAAACTCTTTAGGAGCTGAAGAAGCCTTTGTCTCTTGTCTCTCTGCCCAGGGATGAGAGCTAACTTGGCAGTTTAGTTCTTTTAGTTACCTCAACTTGGGGTCCAGGCAAAGGTCATTTGCTCACAAATAGGGCTACACTGATCCATTTAGGAACATGGGGGGGCCTCTGGTGCTTCCTCATCCCAAAGGCTGCAAATGCTAGGTCAAGGGGTAAGACAGCCAGGCTTGGTTTTGTTTTTTCAGGATCCTCAGACCTTCAACTCCCTCTCTTGACTTGGATATTCTCCCTGTATCTTTGTCCTTTCACTGTCAAAAGTAGTGGCCCATTGGGTTCCTCCACAGGGGCCTTGCAAGCAGAGACCCTTCTAAGGCAAACAATATAAGTAGGTGGGGGAGAGGGAGGGTGGTAGTTGCTGTGTGCTCTATCAGTATTTTCCCTCTCCTTCATCTCTTTGAAAAAAGCCCATGCTCTGGGGATGTACCTTGTGTGCCTTCGTGTTTTGCAAATCTGTCAGCTGGGGTGCAATAAAAATCACTAACCCCACTACACTTCTGTTTCCTTAAATCTAGAATTTTGCAACTCAGTTAGCACGTCTAGGTGGAACAAAAAGATTCTGTTAAAAATGTGCTGCTTCTGTAATGGAAAACACTGTTGTTTTAATTTTTAATTTCTGTTTCTTACAGATGGGGAGATCACTTCTAAACCAATGGTACTTTTCCTGGGACCGTGGAGTGTTGGCAAGTCTACCATGATAAATTATCTCCTTGGGCTTGAAGACACTCGTTACCAGCTTTACACAGGTAACTGAGGTCTTGTCTTATGATGTGTTTATTAGTGGTTTGAAAATTTGTATTTTTTAATTAAAATTTTCTTAAGTATCTACTATATACAACAGACTGTGTTAGGCATAGAGGATTACTGGCATGTGTTTAGCATGGTTAAGGCAGAAAAGTTGACTCTGCAAAGGCTATTTGTTTGTATAATCAGCTTGGTTCCTGGAGCCCCCAAAAGGCTGGGTCTATTTGTTGGCCAAGCCAGACATGGCAGCCTTGCAGAGATTCTTAGAAAAGACCTGGAGGCAGGAAATATCTAACCTTCTACCAGTGCTGTTAATTAAAAGAAAAAAGTAAATGCCAAGGCTCTGCCATGACAAAAGAATCATTGACAACATTATCATTTTGAGTTGGCATTCCAATACATATATATCTGACTTAATGGACTAGTTGGACAGAAGTGTTGCCTGTCATTCACCCAGATGGACTTCTGGGAGGCATGTAGTCTGGTCTAGGTATGAAGGAGTGATGAGTGGAAGATGGTTTTCTAGATCTGGTACCTCCTATATGAAAATATATAGTAGGTTATATCATTGGGTTGTGAAATACTACATAGTTATTCAGAGATTTATAAATTTGGTGACCTGATGAACTGGTATGCTTCAACTCTTTTTTGATATATGAAATAGTTCATTATGTAAGCTAAAGTGGCCAATGTTGCCATGGGACATATTCTGTCAAAAAACAAACAAACAAAACGAACCTCAGTTTTAGAGATTTAACAGATCAGTCACCTGAACAGACTCCACCCATTACCACACTGCCATTAAGAATTATAGATGGTGAACATAGGCAGCCACAATAAAAAGACTGAAGTTTTGGGGAATCAAGTCCAGCCCTACAGATGGTGTACTTCCTGACACTGTCTTCATGTTGGCTTCCTGAGCTGGATTCTCTGACTCTGATCTCTACTCCAGCAATCTGTCTCCTAAACTCCTGACTTAGACCTTTGAGTCTTGGTGCTCTAAAACTCTCTTTCCACCAATTCCCACCTGCAGTACCATTCTGGCCTGGCTTTGGGATTTATGCTAAATTTCCTCCTAATTCAGACCTTACCTGACGCTAGTCAGGAATTGCCTTTTCTTTAAGGAGGTCAGTCAGGAAGCTGTTGTTACTAGATAAAGTGAGCAGTCAGGGGTCCAGGACCAGAGTGGTGACAAGCAGAATGTGGAAAATGAGAACATGAGAGACAGACATTGTGGCAGTAGGAATTACAGGCTAGTGACTTATCAAACACAGGAACACTTTTAATGGCAAATATGACCTTGGAATGCCTCCTGTAGTCACCTCCATACATATAGAGTCCACAACACCTGCCATCACTTCTTCTTTGTGGCACAGGCGCTGAGCCCACCACTTCTGAGTTCACAGTCCTCATGCACGGCCCTAAGCTGAAAACCATCGAGGGCATCGTCATGGCTGCTGACAGTGCTCGCTCCTTCTCGCCCCTTGAAAAGTTTGGCCAGAACTTCCTGGAGAAGCTGATTGGCATTGAGGTCCCTCACAAGCTTTTGGAGAGGGTCACTTTTGTGGACACACCGGGTATCATTGAAAATCGCAAGCAGCAAGAACGAGGTAATTTGGGGGCAGAGTGTGTGGGGAGAGAGAGAGTGGGAATACTACATCAAAGTATCACAGATGTCTAGCAGGAAGGGACCTTGGGGGGAGTGTGATCTAGTCATTTCATTTTACAAATGAGGAAACTGAGACCCAGAGAGGTCAACAGATTTGCCCAAGGTTAGGCAAAGATGGAGTGTCCCGATTCCAAGACCACTATGTCACACTGTCTCTCTGTGTCATCTGGTGAACCTCCTGGCAGTTGCTGAGCTGGAAGATTATGTGTGCCTCATCAGCCCAGACTATGAAGGGAGTGACCCTGCCCCTGCACTCCAGGGCTATGTTGGTTCCAAGGCAGTCTATGCTAGGCCTTAGTGCTGATCTGATATAAAGCAAACTCTAGAGATCCAGTCTGGAGTTAAGTTAGTTTTGACCTGGAGTAGTAATTGAGATGTCAGGGTTCTAAGAGTCTTGGATTGAAGCAGGCCATAGTTCCCTATTTAAATGCACTTATAGGATTATAGATTTAGAGATGGAAGGGACCTTCGATGTTATCTAGTATAAACCTTTCTTTTTATAGATGAGGAAGCTGAGGCCAAGAGAGGGCAAGTGACTTGTCCGTGGTCACATAGCTAGAAAATGTTAGAGGCAGGATTTGAACTTAGGTCCTCCTAACTCCAAGGCCAGCACTCTATCCACTATTCATGTGGCCTTCTCAACTTGGCCTTTGTCCAACCAGGGCCTGGAATTAAAGGGATTACTCAGGATGACACACTCTACTCCTTTCTTAACCCTCCCTTCTTCTCAATGGATTTACCTTGATACAAATGCTTGTGTATACTCCTGGAACTGAACTGACTTCTAGAGTGGAGTTGGGGAACAGAAGACTGGGCAAACACTAGGCTGATGGCATGGAAGTTCACTGTAGTGCCACCACAACTAGGGATCACAGGCAGGTGGAAAATGAGTTCCTGAAACTGGTACTTGTGGAAATAAGTGATTAGGTGATACACTTCACACTGCTGAGTATAACTCACCTACTTACGTGATGTAAGGATGCTGACATTGTACAGGTGAGAGGACAAAGTCATCTACTTTTAGGTCTTCTTTTCCAGGTCCCCAGCTCCTATCTCCCACATCAAAGTCATCGCCCATACTCTTTCCACCCTACTGCATGTTCAGAGGCCAGAAAGATCTTTGCTTAAAAATAATATTCACCTCCCAATAAATCTGTTTAATTTGTCAACCTGGAGGGACAGCTGAATTGAAGTTTTGGACACCCTTAACTCAGGATGAACACTCTATTAGAGACTTAGGCATTTGGTCAAAGTTAGAAGAGGTTCTTCTGGGCCTCACCCACTAGAGGGCAAAAGTTGATGGAATGAAAGAAGAAGCTAGAGATGCGTTTAGGTTGTTGCAAAATTGTTTAGAAACCTAAAGGATATTAAGTGCTCTCATTTCTACAGATCAGTATAATGGGGAGGTTCAAGGTACTAAGGAGAATGCTAGCTTGATCTCATCTTTTGCTTCTTTCTTCCAAAGGTTACCCTTTCAATGATGTGTGCCAGTGGTTCATTGACAGAGCTGATCTCATCTTTGTCGTCTTTGACCCAACCAAACTAGATGTGGGTCTGGAGCTGGAGATGCTCTTTCGCCAACTGAAAGGCCGTGAATCCCAAATAAGAATAATACTGAACAAAGCTGACAATCTGGCCACCCAGATGCTCATGCGGGTTTATGGTGCCCTCTTTTGGAGCTTGGCCCCTCTCATTAATGTCACAGAACCCCCAAGAGTTTATGTCAGCTCCTTTTGGCCCCAAGACTACAAGCCTGACACCCACCGGGATCTATTCCTCGAAGAAGAAATCTCCCTTTTGGAAGATCTGAACCAGGTGATTGAGAACAGGATGGAGAATAAAATTGCCTTCATCCGTCAGCATGCCATTCGGGTACGCATTCATGCTCTTTTGGTTGACCGCTATTTGCAGACTTACAAGGACAAAATGACCTTCTTTAGTGATGGAGAGTTGGTCTTCAAGGACATTGTGGAGGATCCAGATAAGTTCTACATCTTCAAGACCATTCTGGCAAAGACCAATGTCAGCAAGTTTGACCTCCCCAATCGTGAGGCCTATAAGGATTTCTTTGGCATCAATCCTATCTCCAGTTTCAAGCTGCTCTCTCAGCAGTGCTCCTATATGGGAGGGTGCTTTCTGGAGAAGATTGAACGGGCCATCACCCATGAGCTACCCAGTCTCTTGGGAAGCATTGGGTTGGGAAAGAATCCAGGTGCTCTCAACTGCGACAAAACAGGGTGTGGTGAAACCCCAAAGAACCGTTATAGGAAACCTTAATGCTGTGGAGTTTAACTGGTTCTTGTGTTTCTATTGGTGAATGAGCTTGTGTCTTATGTGTATGAGAAGCCCCGGTTTATTAACCCTTTGAGCCAAATTGGCAAGAGCTATTGTACAATGGAGGGCTTGGAGTTAATGGAGGCCAATTGTGGGGGAATGTGCAAGGGCCTAGTAAAGAGAATGGAAACTGTGAATTATAGACCTTTTTGTATTTGCTATTTCAATTAGGAGGCCCCATTTTCCCTATGAGCAAACCAGAAAATTGTGAAGTAGGGTATAGTTGCTTTGTCTTGGCACTGACTTGGAGGGTCAGAGGACAGTTGGCATACACTGAAAAAAAGTTGGGATTAAAATACAATAGAAATAATTAAGATTCCTTTTCCTGAAAAACTGGGGAGAGTGAGGATAGGGGCTAGAGAAGGGAATCCATGACCAGAAACCTTCCCCCCAAGCCAACCCCAGGAATTGGCTTGAAGGTCAAATACTGTTTTTTTTTCCTCTATCCTGACCTTTTCATCATCAGTCTTAAAATTCAGAAGGAACATCACCTTTTTTTTTTTTTCTGGAATCAGGAAGTATAGATACCTGGTGACCAACTTTTGAGTTGGCTGTGGGCAGGAGGAGGACATTTAGGGTCTGCCCCCTTAAAGAGTTTGAATACAAGGATTGATTCCATGTTCAAACTCACTTCCAGAACCTGTTATCTCTTCCTCTGGGCCCTTCATTCACAGATTCTTTGGGTACCTCATGAGGGAATAGGAGTTCCCTAGGATAGCTGAGGATTAGATCATCCCTTCCTCAGGGACAAACTGCTTCTCAATATAGCTCACTGCCCAGGCCCACTGTGAAACCTAGTTTTTCTATCATGCTAAAGGAGAGAATAGGCATTCAGTGTATGCGAGTAGTTTGCTTCATGTCATTCTTGGACTAGCAGTCAAGCAAAGGCATGAATAGAGCTCAGAGGGTTAATAGGTTTGCAGTGTGTCCTTGTCTGTTGCATGTTTTGGAAGAGACAGCTAACTGAGGCCCATAGGCCTCCAAGAGGATGGCAGGGGTCATGCTCCTTCTCCATTAAGGACTTTTCTTGAATTGTGTCTTGTAAGTTTTGGAGGAGACAAACTCCATGCTCTATCTGTGGGGGCTGTTGGGGGAAGAGTGATGTCTTCTGTGTAGTAGTTTCTCTGTCTTTATTTTGTCCTGCCCTCCACACCCCTCCCTCCCCCGCCCATATACCAACATCCCAAATTAGGAATGATTTCCTTTGACTTAGAAAGCACTCAAAGTCAGAACCAATACCAGCTCTTCATTCAATAGCAGCTTCATGCTGATGTCCAGTTACAGCTAGCATATGACAGTGCATGTGGGAAAGCCATGGGCTATGGATAGAAATGTGTGTATAAATCTCTGTGTGCATGTGTGTGTGTGTGTGTGTGTGTGTGATGATGGACATAATCATATAGTAGAGGATGTATAGACAGACATTTTTTGTTGAGAAAATACTGCTTGGTTGATTGGCCGAGGTAGAGAGGAGGGCCAGCTCTCAGAGCAGAAGAAAGAAGCCCTTAGGTAAGATAATATTTAGGGTGGTAAGAGATGCATGGAAATGCTGGGGACCTGTCATGTGGACCATCCTGCAAAAACAATGGGCCAGCCCTGATACTGGGGCAGATAATGAGGTTTTCCCTGCCTCCAAACCAGAGTTCACCTACACCAGAGGGAAGAGGAGGGGAAAAAAACTACCCTGGGCCAGAAAGAAAAGGCAGACAAGGTGAGACAATGGAACAGTAGCTCTAGAGCCAGATAAACTGCCTCAGATGGTGACCACCTGTGTGACCTTGAGCAAGTAATTTAACTTCCCCGGGTCTCAGCTTCTTTAGCTGGAAAATTTGGGTGTTGGAGTGGACAGCCTCTGAGGTCCCTTTTAGCTCTAGATCTGTGATCTGTGAGACCAGACAAGTAGTCTGGTTGGGAGAACAGCCACTGTGGGACTGGCCCACTCTCAAAGGGGTATCTCAGAAGTGGCTATTGCTTTTGGCTTTTCCAGGGCTGGTGTGGGGTATGGGCGTAGTGGTATGGCAAGGAGGTTGAAACTATTCCAAAGAAAATAATAAATTTCTTAAATCCCTATGAACTTGGTTCTACACAATTCCCCAGAAGCCATCTGGTCAGCCTACCTGGAGGTAGGGTTGGAATTAAGGGCAAGAGCTAAGAGACAGAGGGAGAAGTGCAGGGAAAATGCCTGGTAGAGGGCAGACCAGAAAGGAGGTCCCTGCTCAGCCCAAAATGGATACAGCCAGCCACAAAAAGCAGACAGGCCAACATCTAGGGCTATCTAGAGGGCCTACTTAATGAAAAGATACAAGGTGACTCAGGACAAAGAGTTTGCCCTAGATTTTCTTTTAATACTTCTTTATTCTTACCTCCTCCTTCCTCAGTGAGCCCTTTTCCTTTCTAATGTTCACAGGAAACTTCCCAGTGTAACAGTTTTACTCACTGTAGAAGCTGAAGCAAAAAAAAATATGACAGAACTGTCTAGGTCTAGTCATAGATGTGGATGTCACTGTTGCTCTTTTTTTTTTTTTGTAGAATAAGGCTACTAATAAATTCCTATACTATTTATATTTCCAAGGGCTATATGATCAATATGTTTTTATGTCTTTCTCCCTGCCCTACCTCCTGCCTTTTATTTTTCCTTTATTCTACTCTTTCCTGTTTTTTTTCCTCTTTCTTTATTTGTGTTCTGTCACTCTCCTATCAGGGCATTTAATCAGTCACTACATATTTATGGAGTACTTACTGGATATCTGGTATTCTGCTAGGCCCTGGGGAGTGGGAGAAGGCTGGGCTTTGAGCAAAGTTTTAATTCTCCTTTGGATATTGGGGTATAGAGAAATCTACTAGTACCTCCTGATACCCAGTTTCTATCCAAATCTTGTCCTTTTGCAATGCTCATTCAATTCAATCTCACATAACACACATTCATTAAGCAACTACTATGCATCATAAGACACCTCTTCCTCTCTATCACATGGGTTGTTGGTAGGACACAGAATCACATAGTTCTTAGATCATCTACAAAAATTTATTTATCTATTTCATTTGATATATGATTTTCATCTAAAGACCAGCCAGTTGACATGTTACTAGAGGAATTGAACAAAATGGAAGAATAAGAGAGAGCCCTCCAGCTCACTGGGTGAATCCTCTGAGGGGGATTTATAGAAAGACAGTGATGGGAACTGTACAGGATGAGAAGGTGTGGAGAGGCTGTGATTTGCACCCACCATTCTTCACGTAGATGAAGTGTTTGGGAGACATAGCTAGATACTGTTCTGTTGATTACATTCAGGAAAAAGCTTTAGCTTAGCATCTTGTATCTTCTGATGACAGTTCAGGAGGGCTATTCATTTTCTTTTGAAAAAGGTGGTCTGGTCTGTTTATTCCTGGTTGCTTGGGTAGAAACATCAGTGGCTAGGCCTAGCTCTCAGCAGAATAGTGAATTCAGCAGTCTGTATTTAGGAAACTTCCCTGTCCTCTCCTCTCCACCCCCCACTCCACCTTGTCCCCTCTCTGTTCTACCTTATCAGATGCCTATTCTGTATGACAATTCTCCTGGCCTTACTTCCTGCTAGCTAATTCTTACTAGATTGTTAGCTGATATTTTTTAGGTGTTCCACTTCCTTGGGATATTTGCATTTTAGTAGCTTGAAAAAGCTTTCCAGACCAAAAGGAATTAATTTCTAATGGTGGAATTTTAGGCACTGTGACAGTTTGGGGAAGAGACTTCTGGGAAGAGAGCCCGCCCCAAATACCTCAAATCATACCTACTAGGCAGTTACCCACTCTTCCTTTGCCTAAGGTAAGCCCTTCTAGTGGTAACTGTGTGCAGCTGAGTTAGAAGTTCCTGCCTATGGTGGTAATATGCAAGGACATCATTTCCCATTGACTGCCTCAGGAGGTAACTATCCTAAGCCATACTATGAAGAGTCTGGCTTAACTATTGTATTTGGCTTTAAAGAATTAGCTGTTGATCCACAGTCCTAAATTCCTTTGTCAGTGGCATTTGGGCAAGAATCCTATTTTGCTCCATCCCAAGAGAGATACCCAGAAAGCTGTAGAGGAAAGAACATTGGATTTGAAGTCAAAGGACTTGAGTTCAAATCCTGGCTCTGCAACTTGCTCTTTGTGTAACCTTGGGCAAGTCACTTTACCTTTAGGGGACTCAGTTTCTTCATCTATAGAATGAGGGGGTGGATAAGACAGTCTCTAAGATCCTTTTCAGCTTTAAATCCTATGATCCATGATGGACTGGGGTAAAGTCATAGTATTTTACAGATATTGTGTATGACAGCCACTTAAATAAAATTACTTATTTGGCAAACCCACTTGTATCATGTGTCTATCTTTCCAGAAAACAGGATCAACATATAAAAAATGCATGTGACCTATGTGGTAATCTTTGGGACTACTAGAAGGAAGGTCTCTGCTTATCTCCTCCTTCCCTCCCTCCTCCCCTGACCAGAAAGCTTCCTTCTTACTCCCTGAAAGAAGCTGAGAGTGTTTAAGTGACATGCCCCAATTTAGAAGAAGAACTGGGATGAGGACCCAGGTTTCCTAATTTCCAGGTAATAAATAGCTCATTGCATCGCACAAGCTACCTCTGGTTCAGCCTACAGTATCATTCCACTAGGTTGTGTCTGTGATCTTTTTTTTAAAAGACAAATCCTCTTTAGGAAGGGAATTGTAGACCCTTTCCTAAGAATGTGTTTTGATAGGAAAAGAATAGGAGAACACTAAAAGCCATGGTAGAGAGCATAGAAGGCCAATGAAATGGGACTAGAACAGAAACAGGATTATCAGGAGCTACAGATAACTTTCTCAGGGCTTCCCAGTCCTCCTTGGTGCTGCAGGTAAGAAGGCCACATCTAAGCTGCTGTAACTCAGGAAGGAAGGAAAATTGCATTTTTGTGGATTTTTCTGGTTCTTGTAGGCCCTATTCTAGGCCTGGGGGAGGAAAGCAAATAGCCCAGTAACAATTGCAATTGCTATGCATCAAGTGATTTAAAATTTGCAAAATATGCTGCATATCTTATATCATTTGACCCTCATAACACCCTTATGATGTAGGCACTAGAGGTATTACAATCCCCATTTTACATTTGAAGAAACTAAGGCACAAAACATTTAGTATTTGCCCATGACCACACAGCCAGTAAGTATCCAAGGCAGGAAATGGGCCCAGGTTTTCTTAACTCCAAGACCCACCTATATCCACAATGCCACATTGCCTTTATTAATTGCCTGTTTGCTCAGGGAATGGATCAGTTTGAATTTCATGCTACTCCTTCTAGTTTTGCTCTTCCCACATGCCTAGGAGTGATTCTCAAACTATCTTGGCAGAGTTAATACCCCCACTTTTGACTTAGTCCAATTTTTTCTACACTACTCTACCAAGTAACAAAGTCTTCCCATATGAAGAGACAGAAGATATGATACTAGAGAGTCCTGGATTTGGAGTGTGAGAATCTGTGCTGAATTTTGGCTGTGTTTCCTATTAGCTATGAGACATTGAGCACATTTATGCTCCCTGGGCCTCAGTTTCTGTTGGACTCTTTGTCTTTGGTCCTTCTCAACTCTAAAATTCTATAAACAATGAAGTTGGTGTCAATTTTATTAACTATCTATCATAAGTTGTGCCAGACTTTGCCATTTTGTGAATACCTGCAGCCTCATGAGCAGTGTCAGCAACTGCTCACTTCCCTCAGTCTCATCCTTCTTAGACCAGACTAAGGAACAGGGAACGACCTTCAACATAATCCTCCTCTCCGTTTGTTCAATAACAAGTAAAGAAGCTGGAAAAGCCATTCTTCTAAGTGGAAAAAGCAAAATCTGATTAAATTCTGTTCTTAGCTAGAGAAAGTGCAAGGCAGGCACAGCTGGGGGGTATCTGTAGGGATGATGTAGGTCTACGCATGTGTGATGCTGTGTATGCATTATGAGTGAGAACGCATGTACCAGTGGTGGTTACATGTGTGTGTTTCTGTGGCAGTGAGCAATGGGTATATGTGAGGGATGTGTAGGAGGGCAAGATGGGATGTAGCTATCTCTGTGGTGATTGGGAGAATTGGTGTATGCGTGGGATTAGAGGAATGGAAAATATGCATGCGTAAGTGATACCATTTTGGTGGGGGCAGGTCTGATGTGCCCTAAGGCCTATGCCAACACCAGGGCCTTCATTCAGGAAGTATTTGTCAATAGTTTGGACATGAAGCTCATCCTGCCAAGGTAAAGACCATAAAAAGCCCTGATCTCCTGAGGATATTTTTGTTATTGTTAGTTGTGTCCACCTCTCCATGACCCTGTTTGGCATCTTCTTGGCAGAGATACAGGAGTGCTTTGCCATTTCCTTCTCCAGCTCATTTCCAGATGAAGAACTTAGGCAAATAGGGTGAAGTGACTTGTCCAGGGTCACACAGCTAGGAAGTGTCTGAAGATGAGTCTTCCTGATTCCAGACCTGGTACTCTATCCACTATACCACCTAGCTGAGGATGTTTTATTTAAACACAAATCTGTCACTCAGTAAATATTTGTTTAGGGCTGTGCCTCTGAGGAGTGGGGCTGGTAATGTATATTTTTTCTTTTTTAAAAATTATTATCAATTTATTTTGAATGATCAACAATCACTTCCATAAGCTTTTGAGTTTTAAATTTTTCTCCCCCTCTCCCCCTACTCCATCCCCAAGACAGCATGCAGTCTGATATGGGCTATACATATACATTCCCGTTAAGCATATTTTCACATTAGTGATGTTGTAAGGAAGAATAAGAACCAATAGGATGAACCACCAGAAAGAGGAAACAAAACACAACAGAAGAAAAAAAATAGCAAATAGTATGCTTCGATCTGCATTCAAATCCATAGTTCTTTCTTTGGATGTAGATAGCATTTTCCATCATGAGGCCTTTGGAGATGTCTTAGATCCTTGTGTTGGTGAAAAGGGTTAAGTCTATCAAAGTTAATCATCCCATAATGTGGCTGTTACTGTGTACAATGTTCACCTGGTTCTGCTCATTTCACTCAGCATCAGTCCATACAAGTCTTTCCAGGTTTTTCTGAAGTCTGCCTGCTCATCATTTCTTATAGCACAATAGTATTCCATTACATTCATATGCCACAACTTGTTCAGCCAATTGATGGGCAGCCTCTCAGTTTCTAATCCTTTGCCTGGTAATATATTTTTTAAAAAAGATCTTTATATAGCAATTAGAAGGCCTAGAAGAGCAAACAAAATATGTACCTGGAAAAATGTTGAGAAGGTGGGGGTGTAGAAAAGGTTGGAGTGGAAATAGGTTTTTTCCTAGAGCTTCCTCCTGCCCCCAAATTTTGGAAAGATGGAAACCATTTGGAATTTTTGTTAGCATGATAAATAAAATACTTAAAATACCATATCTATATACTGCTATCTGTCTTTTCCTCTCCACAAAAGATTTCTAAAATCTATTCCTTTGGAAGAGTTGTATGTAAAACCATCCATAGTATTTTTCCTGCATTGTACACCAGTAGTGTAGGAATTTGCTTCAGCCAAGGCAGAGCCTCAGCTTTCAGAAGTCCAGGAAAATGGCAAAACAAAGCAATAAAGGAAGTAAAAGTTGCTTTTGGCAACAATTCATGATACAAAGTCCCATGTGACCAAAGGTCTATTTAACAGGTTGGGGTGGTGGTAGCCCGAGGGTATATGTGAATATTCAAGTCCCCAGGGCAGTAGACATCACCTAGAAGTTCTTTGCCCCAGACCCTAGGGTTTCACTTTTAAAAAAAATTTTTTTTCCATATGCTTTTGAGTTGAAAATTTTTCTCCCTTTTCCTCCCCCCCCAAGACGTCGCACAATCTGATAAAGGCTTTACATTTACATACCCATTAAACATATTTTTACATTAGTGAAGTTGTAAGTAAAAATTAAAACCAATAGGAGGAACCATCAGAAAGACGAAACAAAACTCAACAGAAGGTAAAAATAAGTGATAGCGATTCGACTTCCATAGTTCTTTCTTTAGATGTGGACAGCGTTTTCCATCCCGAGACCTCTGGAGATGTCTTAGATCCTCGTAATGCTGAGAAGGGTTCAGTTTAACAATCTTAGTCATTGCATAATGTGGCTGTTATTGTGTACAAAGTCCTCTTGGTTCTGCTCACTTCACTCAGCATCAGACCATATAAGTCTTTCCAGGTTTTTCTGAAGTCAGCCTGTTCATCATTTCTTATAGCACAATAGTATTCCATTACATTCATATACCACAACTTGCTCAGCCATTCCCCAATTGATGGGCATCCTCTCAATTTCCAATTCTTTGCCACCACAAAAAGAGCTGCTATGAATATTTTTGTACATGTGGGTCCTTTTCCCATTCATTTGATCTCTTTGGGATATAGCCCTAGAAGTGCTATTGCTGGATCAAAGGGTATGCACATTTTTGTAGCCCTTTGGGCATAGTTCCAAATCGTTCTCCAGAATGGTTGGATCATTTCACAACTCCACCACCAATGTATTAGCGTTCCAATTTTCCCACATCCTCTCCAACATTTATCATTTTCCTTTTTTTGTCATGTTGCCAATCTGATAGGTGTGATGTGGTACCTCAGAGTTGTTTTGATTTGCATTTCTCTAATCAATAACGATTTAGAGCATTTTTTCATATAACTATAGATGGCTTTAATTTCTTCATCTGAGAACTCTGTTCATATCCTTTGACCATTTATCAATTGGGGAATGGCTTGTGTTCTTATAAATTTGTCTTAATTCTCTATAAATTTTAGAAATGAGGCCTTTATCAGAGAGACTGGTTGTAAAAATTCTTTCCCAATTTTCTACCTTCCTTCTAATCTTAGTTGCATTGGCTTTGTTTGTGCAAAAACTTTTCAATTTAATGTAATCAAAATTATCCATTTTGCTTTTCATAATGTTCTGTATCTCCTGTTTGGTCATGAATTCTTCTGTTCTCCATAGATCTGATAGGTAAACTATTCCTTGTTCTCCCAGTTTGCTTATGGTATCAGCCTTTATATCTAAGTCCTGAACCCATTTTGACTTTATTTTGGTATATGGTGTGA